GTCCCCAGGATCTTCTCTCTGATATATTTGAGATACACCCAGCTTCATTCAGTATCAATAAGAATACATCAGCCATCAGGGAAAAACAAAACAAAACAAAACAAAATTTTTAGTCACAGAACTAGTTTTTCTTTTTCTTTTTGCCCTTTGGGTGCAACCTTTCCCCCAACCCCCACCAAAAGAGGCCAGTGGGGCCAAGGGCCTGGCTATCAGCCACAGATTCTTCCCCCTTTAGGAAAAGAGAGGCTTCCCAAAGTAGAAAAAGAAACCTCGCATCCAAGCCAGGGACAGGCTCCAACATCCCACTTCTCTGTTTTTGGGCTGAGATGAATACTACCCCTTGAAAAGATTGGCTTCTGCAATTACCACTGAATAAACATCCAATTAAAATGTCTCCCCTGCCTCAACCCCACCCTGTCTCTTCTTCTCCTGAAGCTTTTTCATCCCAGAGCAATAGGGCAGAGGTGACTTTCTCTAATAACATTTGTGTTCTCTGCCTAAGAGAACACTTGATGGAAATGGACAAACCAATTAGAAAATAATGAATAATACGGAAAAGGCTGATCCAAGAAAATCTCAGCTCCTCTGTTTTCATTCTCCTCCCAGACATTGTTTCTCTTTTCACAATGGCCCTCGGTGCGCTTAGAAACGTGGGTGAAGTTATGGGAAGCACTGGCCACATCTAGATTTGTTCTTGGCCTTGCCACTGTTTGTGTGAGCTCTGAACCCTTGTTCCTGCAAGATGGGGATAAATGATAGGAATAGCTAAACATGTATTAAAAGTTTTCTATATGCCAGGCACTTTATTTATTAACTTGCCTAATCCTCTGAACAACTACACAGGGTACTATTAACATCCACATTCTGTATATAAATAAACTAGGGTATAGGATGTTAATTGCCCTGAGTGACCCAAACATTAATGAAAAAGCTAGTTTCAAGCCTGAAACTCAAGCTTGAAAATAAGCCATCATATACTCTATGGAATACTACTCAGCCATAAAAGACAAAATCCTGACTTTTGATAGAAAGTGGATAAATATGGAAGATTTACTGCTGAGTGAAGCAAGCCAGGCTATGAAGGAGAGACATTGTATGTCTCCACTTAATATATACTGTCTATACTCTGTGGCTGAAACTAAAATATTAGAGGATATAGAAGCAGAGCAAATGGTTATAGATATCAGATACAGCATGGAAAGAGCGTGGGAGAAGGAGAAGAATGTGAAGAGAGACATTAAGGAGAAAAATAGTGAGGCAAGACATTTATGGGACACATAAATGGTTTATTACCTGTTGCTGATAACATGTATAGTGTCCCCAACTGGACTGCCATGAACTATATTCATGTTGGAAAATTCACTTTAAAAGCTAAGTGGTGTATAGTGATTGAATGAATAAAAGAAATTAAAAGAAAATAAAATATATTATTTAAAAAAAGAAAAAAGCCATCATGCCCATCCTGCTACAATTGCTTCAAGTAGTGAACAGTGAGGATACAGACACCTGTGTACCTAGTTCAGGGTCTAGTATACAGAAAGTGTTTAACATATGTTGGCTTTCTGCTTCCTCTTTCCTTTCTCTCTTAGCAGAGCAGACTGATTAGAACCCATCATGAGGTTTCCAGTCTAAGAAGTTGAATGTGGACTCCTAGGGGAGAGAAAGGCTCAGCAAAAAAGGTTTTGGGTCAATATCTGAGCTTATGTGGTTACTACTTGAGTTGGTTTAACTTAAACAGAGAGGAAACTTTTCCTTTGTCCCCAACCCATGCTAATCATTTTGTGAAAGGCCATTAATAGTAAGATCACATGAGTTTGGGGATCCCTGTGATGTAGAGAGCCAGAAAGACACTCAAAGGATCACAGTTATCACATTCATGTTAGAATAGACATGCAGTTTTGTGACTCACAGAAGTGCTCTATGAAGCACTAGGCAGCTGCTACCAGTCCCATTGGATAAGAAAACTGGTGCCTCTACTCAGTCATAAAAGAACAACAAGACCCTGGCATTTGCTAGAAAGTGGACAAATATGGAAGATTTACTGCTTAGTGAAGCGAGTCAGGCTATTAAAGAGAGACATTGCATGTCTCCACTTAATATATACCAATTGTCTGCACTCTATGGCAGAAATTAAAATATTAGAGGATATAGAAACATAGAAAATGGTTATGGATACTGGAGACAGTGTGGGAAGAGGATGAGAGATGGGGAGAATGAGAGAAAAGAAATCAAGGAAAAAAATAGAAAAGACACAAAAATGGAAGTTTGCCTGCTGATGATAATGTGTATGATATCTTCAACTGGACTGGTGTGAAGTGTATTCATGTTGGATAAGTCATTTTACAAGTGGTAGTGATGTATAGTGATTAAATGTATAAAATAAATTAGAATAATAATTAAAATAAAATAAAATTTAAAAAGAAAACCTGTGCCTCATATTCAAGAATTACTGAAACTGATACTGGGACTGAAATGTTTTTGCTTTTATTTTTTTTTCTGATTTAAATTCAATTCCATCAACATTTACTGAATATTCGCCAGGTTCTCAAGCCCTGAGCTGAGAACTGAGTAAACAAAATAGATACCTTCTTGTCCTTAGGTGGCCACAGAAGAGTGGTGTACATAAAGAAGTGAAGTAATTAATTGGAAAGGTGTAGGAGAGAGTACACAATTGATAGGTGGCCAATGAATACTGAGGTGGTAAAGGGGGTGGAGGTGAGGTAGAAGTCAGGGAAGTCTTCCTGGAGGAGTGATACCACAATAGATTTTGAATTTGTGCATCAGAGGACAAGTGCTGAGCTGAGTCCAAGCAGAGAGTGCAGCATGAGTAAAGGCACCAGGGGGATAATGCATCATGGTGGATACAGAAGTGCTCCCATTACACAGTAGAGTTTCAAGAGAGGCAGAGAGAGAGAGAGAGATGATGCTCAAGGGTAGGCAGGGTCCTGAAGGCCATGAACTCTTCACACTCTCACATATGGGGAGGCCCTTCTGTTTCTTTAAGAGGGAAAAAGAAGGGGACTATTGTTAGTGAGTGCTGCTGGCTAGGCTCCATGAGAAACCCCAGGGCGAAGGAGCATTGTAAAAAGAGAACATGCTGGCAATTACCTGCATGAACTCAGCAAGACATGAAGGTTCTCTAAGTCTCTGCTTCCTCCTCTGGAAAATGGGGATAATAATATGAACTACCTCTGTAATAGTAAGAGTAAAGCAGATAATCCAGGTGAGCTGGAGCCACAGAGAAGGACTGAGCATGAAATACCATTATTCATTGACTCTGTTTCTTTGACTACATCAAGCTGCCAGCTTGCTTAATTAAATATGTTTTCATTCATTGATTCATTAATTGATTTCCAACCTTACCCAATAATTGTTGGCTACTCATAAGGCTCTGAAAACTTGATGGCAGATAAAATGAAGGCTGAAAGTAGTGTGAGAGGGGAACAAGAGGCTTCTCTCTGGTTAGAAAGTGAACCACTGAATAATATACCTGTGACTGATCTGAAGCAGATCACATATAGGGTTTTGATTCTGATGAAGGAGTTGCCCACCCCAGCAGGGGAGCTCTTATTTCTTGAGCACCTAGGTTATACCAGTCTTTGCATGAAGACCATTTCTTTTTCTCTTCTCTCTCTGTGTAGCTGGAGGGTGCATGCATTTTCCAGAATGAGAAAGATAGCAAAAGAGACAGACAGAAACAGAAAGAGAATCCCACAATGGGGCATGGTCATGCTGAAATCCTTTTTCTTCCATGTCTCCATATCATCAGGATTTGGGGCACACACACATATGCTCTTGGGGAATTTTTCAAGCAGAATTCAGATTGAAGTTGGCCATACGGAATCCAGCTACTTATGCTCAGTGCTTAAATACTGTTCATGAGGCCAGCTCTCTCTCTCTCTCTTTCTCAATATGTGTTTGTTCCATGTATTAAAGAGCTGGTGACTGTACAGTGGGGAGTTAATTCATTTTCCAGACATGTCAGTCTACAATGACACTGACCCCAAATTTAGTATCCCATGCTAGCCTTTTTTTACAAATAAAGAAATAGAAGTTTACAAAATGCAGAATAATCCAAGGGAGGCAATATAATGCCTCCAGGAAGAGAGGATACATTTCCAAGCTAGACAACATTGTCTTTGAGCTCCAGTTCTACAATTTGGGGTAACCTATGTAATAACACTGGGGCAAAGTTGCTCATCTTGAAAATAGAGTAACAACACTTGCTTGTAAGGTTGATATAGAGGTTTAATGCAGGTTTGCAGGTTTTCTAGTGTAGCTCTGCACTTGCTAAATAAATGATCCAAGGTTCATAGTAAATGAGTGAAGGAAGGAAGAATCCAAGACTAAATTACATCTTATCTCTGTTATGGTCAGTGTTCTTAATCTATACACCCATATGTGATCCTGACCATAGCTCATAGGTATGTAAATGTTGACTGTAGAAAAATCTAGGTTCAAAACTGAACTCTTCTAGGGCCAGCCCTATGGTGCAGTGGTTAAGCACTATACATCGGGAACTGGATCCCACATGACCAACTGCAGTTCAAATCGCATCCCTAAAAGCTTGAAAAACACACCAGACACAT